AGACCGGTCAGATCGCGGGTTAGGTGGCAACAGGCGGCCTGTCACACGCCTCGCCCCGTCCCGTCGGAATGATGAGAGCTTCCTGGCTCTCGTCCCTAGCCGGAGCCGGCGTGCTAACTCCTGGAGTTGGTATGTCAGTCCCGGTCAGATCCATTCCAGGCTTCAGCGCAGGTATGGCAAGGAAGTCGCTGGCCATTAAATGAAGGTTAAAATGGGCGTCCACCGGGAAAGCAGGCGAGTGGGGCAGGAGGCGTGTGCTCTGTTTGTCAGAGGTCACTTCCGGCTGTAGACTAGCCCTCATTGTAAAATGCATGTTTCCCTTCTTAGGCAGCTAGAGGCCCATGTGGTGACCCCTGACCAGATAAAAAGGAGGCCCAGGCCTAGGAGAGAAAAAAAAGAGGAAGGAGGGTTGGGACTCTGGGGAAGGGGTTCTAGAGCCTGAACTCTCTCTCTCGCTCTCCGGCTCTCTGTATTCCTTCACGCACAGATCCACCAGAACACAGGAGTAGGGTGTTACGCTTCTCAGCGGCCCGAACCTGTCTACGTCGCCCGTGTCTTGTGCACTTCCTCTCTCGCTGACGTTCCTCAGATCGAGGGCGAAGAACCTCACTTAGCGTCCCCGGCCGAACCGGCAAAGGGGGGCCTGCGCGGTCTCCAGGTGAGGAGCCCCACGCTCCGTCAACATGTTTTTAAGAGAGAAGAAATAAGAGACAATTTAGACCATAAATCTATCATCCAAATGCTAGAAATAATTAGGGTGATCTGGCTTAACGGGACAAGAGATAAATAGCATTAATTACACTTAGTGAGGATGAACTATATAAGTATATAGGGTATATAGCACCATGGATTTACCTAGAACGGAAGGGGCATCACAACAACTCGATCGATCATGATGATCGGTGGCTCCTTTCAGTTAGCACCTTGCGGAGATTAACGATAGGTCCTCTTTCCAATCTATTGAGAGTTTCAGATCGATACGGAAATATGATCGCCTGCGGGCCTAGCTAAGAGATAAATACGTAGATTGGAAGTTTTTTCTTTTTCCTTAAAACTTCTATGATGTTTCTAAGTTATTATTTATTAATTTCCTTAGCATTAGAGTGTCACGTGGTGGTTTAGAAGCATTCGTAGGAGTGCCATGTGGCGACATAAGAGCGTTTGTAGAAATTTTAATGGACTTTTAGTAAATAATAGATAATAGATAGATAGATCATGCATGCATCCATGTATGTGGTTCATATGTGTGTCTAAGATTCATATGGATTGTTAGTGAATATAGATGAGGGATTGAGGGGCCAAAACGTCTTTTAATGTGGAATAGATGGAGTAAAAGATCAGCAGTCAGCGAGCGCCATGTACCATGTCTAGTGCATTTTCAACCATTTTTAATGAAAAACTTGGTTCGGATTTTAGAATTTAGTATACGACGAAATGGAACAAATCATCTTTCATCAACGAAAAGACACATAAGAGGGCAAATAATTTTTAATTACATGTTATTCCAATCTTCTTTTTTCGCGATGATCGAGCCCTTGATGTCACCGGTGAATCCGACCGAATGGATCGGTGGTGGTGCAGTGCCGTTTGGTGGATGCTCTGTAGCAAGGTGATTGACCAAATTGAAGACATAATATATATGGTTAATTTTATCTAGTGTTAAATATAGTTAAACATAATGTGGCATATTTTCATCTAGCATTCTAGCTTGTCCCCACCACATGGCAGGGTATGCCGCCGCACTAGTGGCATGAGACAACTTTTGCTGGTTCATGACTCAGAAGCCATTACCATGGTTGCATCTCAGTTTGATAGTCCTGACGCACCCGCCTGCACTGCTTTGAAGGCTCGAGTAATCCTTTGGCGATTGGTATTTGAACCCCAGGAGGCTGTTGTAGAGACAATATTTGTTGTTGATGTCACAGGTAGCTGTATGGCCCACACATGACATAGGAGTCGCATTGGTCAATTGGGTAATACCACAAGTTGTTTCATGCCCCGGTGCTCCACACCGCGCGTTGCACTTGGCGTGTTGTGTCATCCACGACAAACCAGGACAATATAGACTAGTCGTTGTTGGAATAGCTATAAGATATCTCGTCGGAGCTGGAGATGACCTTCAAGGTGAAGTCTGTAGATTCAAGGTATGGCACGCCGGTGAGCTTTTTTGCTGTTGAACAACTCGTTGTCATATATACTCATACTGACCATGACGAGGAAGAATTTTGACATCCCGCCTTAGACAAGTTTGAAAGTGTAGTCTCCTAGCAACGGGTCAATTGGGCTCTTCCATGAGGTAATGTTTTTGGTGATGCCAGCCTTCATGTCTACCCCGAGCTTCATGTCGACCAATTGAGTTTCTATCGAATAGTTAAAACTCTCCACGCAATGCTCTGGTTGGAGAAGCTTCCGTCAGTGCTGAGGATCAAGTTGCTATCGTCCCGAAGCTGTGCGGTCATGTTCTCGGCGTTGTTGAGGACCACAATGTGGTGCGTTGCTTGTCTAGGACAACTAGGTGGCCATTGGCGGAGACGCAGGGACTGAGAATCCTAGCGTATCATATGCCAAGGTATGTCCTTCCGTTGGTGGTGCTAGGCGGCTGAAGAAGCCAAAGCTAAAATCATGGTGGTGCTGGGCGGCTGAAGAAGCCAAAGCTAGAATTACCTCGTGCCGAGACGAGCCTCTCGTTGCCAAGCTAGAATACACTTTTTCTAAGATTTTAATATTGGAACTAAAAATTGATTTTGGGGGAGGGGGGCATTTGTCTTGTGCGATTTAGAATTGATAGGGGCCAAGGCCCCCACTAGGTACATATGCTCCTATTTTCAGGAAAGAAGACCAGAATTTAATTACAACAACATTGATTGTACCTGTTTTCAGGAAATAAGACCATAATTTAATTACAACATATCAATTGTATATTAGATAAATGTTGCATGTTAAGTCTACGTGGGCTTGAAAATTAACAATTCGAGTGGCCGCTGCTGTAAGTCGAGTGGCCAAACCCTAGGACCTTGGCGTCATGGATTTTGATTCTTTATGGCGTGGAGTGAAATTTCAACATAATTTGAAGATCTTTGTTATAATTTACAAGCTCCTACGAAATGTAGGTGTTTAATCTTTTCGGGAAAGAATATAATAATTTACTACAACATCGCTTGTATGTCAGATATATGAATGCAAACCAGCAGCTATTAGCTCTCTTCTATTTAAGCAGCTAGCAACAAATATCAACCCTAGAAGGAGAGCTTTTCTTTTAATATCAACCCTAGAAGGAGAGCTTTTCTTTTTTATTTCTTTCTTTTTTTATATTAATCGTTTCTGATTATACATTCCTGGTCACTAATATGGATGTGGCAGTTTTTCTCCTTATTATTTCCAAAATTATTCTCCTTATTATTTCCAAAATTTAACAATTAAAAAGATGGATAAGATTTTTTTTTTGAAAAAAAGTAGCTCTTATTTGTGAAAAATTGAAAGCTCTCAATAGAGTTTTATGATATTTGGCTAGCTAGTGCATCAGGTGAAGACTGAAGAGGCATAATGGAAGTTTTTCGTAAGAACATAGTGCGACTGATATGTGGGGGTTCACCTTTTTTTAATTTATTTTTTAATTGAAATATAATGACATTTGGGTCCACATGAGTACCACGCTGACTCAGTCAGGTTAACCATAGTCAACTTATCATATTAGCCGAAATCGGGTACAGTACTGCACTGGTGCCTTAGAGCATCTCTAATAGATGACTAAAACTAGAGTCCCAAAAATCCTGTATTAGGGACAACCAAAAAATATTGGATCCAAAAATCATCCACTTCACCAAGAGGTGCCTAAAATTATATCCAGAGAAAATTCCCTATATACCCCTGAAAATTTACTCAATCCCTTCAATACCCCTGAATTTGACATTATCCCTTATATACCCCTGAGTTTTCATTTTGATCTCCTCTATACCCATCTCCGTTAGTTGACCATTAGTTGACCGTTAAATATTTTAAAATGACTATATTACCCATCCTATACATATGTGTGGTACCTACCCAATAAATTTTCATATGAAAAATAAACTTATACAAAATACAAGCAATATAATCATTTAATGCCCAACTTAAAAAATAAAACTTATTATTTTTTATTTTTTAAAAATTATGATTAAATCCATACATTAGTTTCACCAGAAAATTAAGAGCAAAAACTAAATGTTATTTAGGTTTAAATTTTTGGGAAGATATACGAAATTCATCAAATTTGATCTGAAATTTATTTAAAAATTTTAAATTTGTTTTCTAATTTGTGATAAACTAATTATATCCCCTTTGTTTTTTCACAACGAATCTTTTTTCACTAAATATTTGTTGAAAAGTAATTTTCAAATCTTATGCAGAACTTTTTTTTACAATAAATCTTTTTTTATTTTAATGAAATAATGTTTTATTTTCAAAAATTCATAACAAATATTTAGTAATTTATTCCTTATTGGTTTTCACAACTCAAAAAATTTACACATAAAACATTTCTAGCTTTTAACAATATAACAAGGACAATAAAGTAATTTCTACAATAACTAACGGTCAAACTAATGGTCAACTAACGGAATGGGTATGTAAGGGATCCAAATAAAAACTCAGGGGTATATAAGAGATCAAACAAATTTCAGGGGCGTAGAAGGGATTGGGTGAAATTATATGGGCATATAGGGAATTGGCCCTTCCTAAAACATTGAAATTTGCCACGTCATTACGTGCGGGACCTTTTTAACTAATTTTTGACGGTCTCATTTGTCATTAGCCGATCGCGTGCGGGCGCAGAGGCGAGACCACGACTCAGCATCCTGTAGCGCCGTATCTGCTATCCCGATGACACGAGAGCGACGACATCTGCACGCAGGACACAGGAGTAAGCGGTGCACGCAGGACGCAGATGCAAACGCAGGCGCAGGTGAGGTCGCTTGACTGGCGGCGTAGGCCGATACACCAGGTGTCCAGTGTCCTCGACTCAATGAGATCTTATTGAAGTAAATATCCGTCTTTTTGAATACTTCAAATGTCGACGACAAATTGATGATAGCACGACAAATTCAGACATATCAGTAAATCCCCTGAATAATACTAGTCTAAATATGACTGCATCTAGTTCTAAATCCCCTGAATTGCAAATATAACAAGTTTTGCATTACACAATCTGAAAAATAGACCTCTAAATATGACTGCATCTGAAATTAGCTGCAATAGCACCAAGACCAATATCACCATTTCTTTAAGCAGCCAGCAACCTTCACCCCATCTCCGCAAGCTACAGATTGAGTTAACATCAAATGAAAAAAAAATGAGTTAATCATGTTACTGATCAATAAGCAACAACAATTAAAAGGCTTACTGATCAGGGTACTGATCACACTATTATAAAGGCTGAAGTTAATTATGTCATGCCACTAGTACACTGTTATGAAAAAGGCTGAAGTTTGGCACAATAATCTGAATGCCACAGAATTGCCCATAAGTTGCATCTAAAATATCAGGCGATTTTTAAGCTCAATCATTGCAGGCCAGATAGATTGATAGGGTATTTGTGTATTAACTCACAACATGTTTATTGCTCACTGATCATGTGCAAACCTCAAGATGGTGTAGGTTGGTTCACTGATCTTGTTATAATGCACCTAGCAATGCTAGTTCTACCATCGAAAAGACTAAATTCCCTTCCCATAACAATGCCATATAGAAAATTTCAGGCTGAGCTATCAATCTCAGTCATTGAACCTATTTATGTGCCTAATCACACAAATCAACAGTATTGCCCACCCAAGCTCTCAATTGACTACTTGAGTCCTAAACCACCAAATCACAAGCTCCCACGATATAAACCAACTTGCATAATCTTACCCAAATAATCTTGGGCCCCAAGCTCTCAATTGACTACTTGAGTCCTAAACCACCAAATCACAAGCTCCCACGATATAAACCAACTTGCACAATCTTGCCCAAATAATCTTGGGCGCCGTCGATTGACTCAAAAGGAGCAGAACGATCAATGGAGAGCGAGCGAATGATTAATCTAAAATCACCTCAAACAAGTTCAACAAATTTAGTACCAAGTACATGTCGTCAAGCCAGCGTGCTGAACGGAGGGGTAGAGAATGAAAACAATGAGGACGAAGCGGACGACGACGGCCCCCGAGGCGCTCAGGATGAACAGCCGGCGGTGCCCTGAACAGAACGCCCTGGACAAAGGGGAGGCGGCAACCTGGCCCGTCTGACGGAGGTGACGCCATCTGAACTTATTTCTTACAATCACACGCCATCTGACGGCCCATGGGCCTGAGCGGGCTTTTCCTCGAGGTCGGCGCGGACGCGGCTGAACATGACCATGTCCCTGGGCCTCCCCTTGAGCACGACGTACCGGCGCAGCACGCCCTCCCGGGCGAACCCGGCCTTCTCCAGCACGCGCTGCGACGCCGGGTTCTCCACGTCGGCGACGGCCTCCAGCCGCTCCAGCCACGGCCACTCCGCGAGCACCGCCTCCGCCACCGCCCTCACCGCCCGCGTTGCCACGCCGCGGCCCCAGTGCGCGTGCGCCACCCGGTACCCGACGGAGGCCCTGCAGCAGCCGGAGCGGAGGCGGCCGGTCTCGGACTCAGGCTCCGGGAGCGGGAGGTCGTCCGCCGGCTTGACGGAGATGGATCCCACGGGGCGGTCGGCGCCGGCGACGCAGATGGCGCGGTACCACGGGTGCGGCAGGACCTTGTCAACGATGTAGCGGCGTGCCTCGTCGACGTGCGAGTAGGCGTCGCGGCGCTGGAACCGGACGACGCGCGGGTCGGACGCCCATGCGAAGAGCGCCTCCGCGTCAGCCTCGGTGAACTCCCGCAGTGTAACCTCCGCCGCCTCCGCCTCCGCCTCCATCTCCGTCGCCGGGTCAGGTCTCGTCTCTGCCTCCCACTTATACATCTCGACAAAGCAGCCAAGCTTGACCGGAGAAGAAAGCTGCGGCGGCGAGCCGATCGAGACCATGGGTGAGTCACCGTCGTTTGGTTCGGTTTGACTTGACCAGCTTGAGGCCCACAAGGCCCATACAGCAAATTGGGCCTAGAAACTTCATGGGCCAAAGGCCCAACGAGGGTCAAAACCCAGAAGCGGCAGCTCGCTTTTTCCCCAACCCGGAGGAGGCCGAGGAACACACAGATCCAGCCGCAGAAGCAAAACCCAGGAGCAGCCATGGATCCCCTCGCCGTGCTCCGGGACTACGCCGCCCGCGGCGACCTCGACAAGATCATCTTCTCCGGCGACGAGGTGCTCTTCGGGTCGGAGTACACCTTCCCGGCCAACGCCCCCACCGCCTTCACCAACAAGCAGTCGGGCCGCCCCTACCCGCTCTCCGCCGCCGTCTTCCTCGCGCAGCACAACGACCTCAAGCACACCGACTTCATCCAGGCCGCCCGCCTCCGCCGCATCCCCCCCGTCTCCCTCCCCGACCGTAAGACCTTCCTCGACTTCCTCCGCCATGGCCACCACTCGCTCCCCACCGACCCATTGCTCCCCTCCGCGCTCCCGTCCTTCGCGCCGGAGCCCCAGCCGGCGATGCCCGAGGAGCCCGAGGGCGACAAGGCCTCCGGCGCCTACATCCGCGCCCTCGAGCGGACGCTCAAGGACAGGAACGCGCTCCTCGACGCCCGCGGCCGCGACTTCCTCGCCGTGCTGCAGAACGCCACGCGCCGGGAGGAGGAGCGCCGGCGGAACAAGGACAGCGCCCCCTCCTCCGCCCGCCACGAGCCCTCCTCCGCCGCCGCCGCGGCCGCCATGGCGAAGCCCAAGGTGGAGAGGTCCTTCGGGGACGGGTTCGTGCCCATCATCCTCGTGCCGAGCGCGTCGCAGACGCTGATTACGATCTACAACGTGAGGGAGTTCTTGGAGGACGGTGTGTTCGTGCCGAGCGACGAGAGGATGCGCGCGATGAAGGGGAGCGGGAAGCCCGAGTGCGTCATGGTGCAGAAGAAGCTGATTCGTGGGGAGAGGGCCGGTGCTGGTGGTGGCGCGACAACGTTCGAGGTGAGGGACAAGCCGGCTTCGCTTAAGGCAGACGATTGGGCGCGGGTGGTGGCCGTGTTTGTGCTCGGCAAGGAGTGGCAGTTCAAAGACTGGCCATTCAAAGATCATGTTGAGATCTTCAATAAGGGTAAGGATTTCATGCTTTTTCACTAGTGCGTATAAAGTCAACCAAATCACTTTAAGATTTTAACATAATGACACCTATGTTCTGTTCTTGCGAATTCTAGTTGAGAAAATTTAGCCATTGAACTTAGGTTAGTTTGCTATTGTTCTGTGCAGCGAGAAGTAATAGACGCTTTGTTTTTGTACTAGTTAAAGTTCTTCATTTGGCCGCCTTGTAGATATAAGGTTAATGTTGTTACCTAACAAACATGACTGTTGATGGTTCCTGCTAAAATTCATGCAATCATTTGCCTGTAAGGAGTATGCTTTACTCTATTTGTAAAAATCTGCATGATAGAATTACTAATATTGTATTTGTTTTGGCTAAGCATACTTTATATAGGTGCCAAAAGTTACTTCAAATTAATTTAATTATGCTAATTGTGTTGAGCATGTTTAATCATTTAGATCGCATGCTTTTGTTTTTTCATTTCATAATACAGTTAACAATTTAATCAGAAAATACTGGTTTGAAATTTGAAAGAAAGCAGTCTTTAGAATGCTCTGTTCCTAATCAGCATGAATTTTTTTTAGAAGGCACACAATATGTTGATTATTGTTTCTGCGGCATAACATCTTGAAATTTGTGTCAGTTATTGGTTTCTATGTGCGCTTTGAAGATGATAGTGTGGAGGCAGCCAAAGTGGTCAAACAGTGGAATGTTAAAATCATATCTGTGAGTGTTAGATGCATTTAGTTCCCATGTTTTAAAGTTTTTTTTAAAAAAAATCCCTTGCTAACAATTACTTGATTTGCTGAGGAGCAGATAAGCAAGAATAAAAGGCATCAAGACAGAACAGCAGCCCTTGAGGTATGGGAGCGGCTAGAGGAATTTATGCGGGCACACACATAGTTGAAGTATCATGTACACCAGAACGGCAGGATCATGTAAGCGGTCTATCTTATTTTTATTTGAAAAGAAGATCCTGAGTTCTTTGGAGTTCTGTAATGTTGGACATAATGGTTTCCTACTCCATGTTCTAGTACTGCTGCCTTCGTGTATCATGAATGGTTTACTAATCCCTATGGAGTATGGATTGACCAATCATAGATAATTTGTGATCTAATCTGAATTGCACTGTAGCTAGTGATTAGTCAGCTCTGCATATAACTGATCCTCACAAAGAACATGCATGATGTTTGTGACTGTCAAGGCTATCATGCTAATTCTGTGAACTGAAGTATTTTTAGTTGCCTATGCAACCTTTTGGATCTTTACAGTAGAACTTTTGTCCCGTGTCTCAGTAAACGCAAGGTGTGTAATTTGCATTGTCAGTAACGGTAGTTGCTGCCTGCTGCTATATTAATTATAGAGCCCTGGCAATGTTATTTGATTTCGGAATTATTGGCATTTGTGTACATAAGTTCATGTTTTTTTGCCATCTATTGTTTCAAGGACTGCTCAAGAGTTTTGAAGTGTGTGCTATTGCCTTAAATTATTTACCCATTCTGACTGCCTGCTGCAGCTGTCTGGGTGAAATTGTTAAGCTATAGTTTTAATAGGTAACTTTTTAAACCTTTTATATATAAAGAATCAGAGTGAAATTGTTTGCAATGGGGCTTCCCCAAGCATTTCAGTTTGTTTGGTTCTTGCTAGTGAGGAGGTCTTTGGAGTTTGACTGGGGCCAAGGGGCTATCGCTGATTTTGCATCCCGGCTAAGTGGTCTTGTGAGTCAGGACATCGCAAGGGCCTTGTTGGGGCGCCTTTGCTCGTTTTATTTTGTTGTGTTCTGTATTTTGTGTTTTGTGTCATTTGTTTTGTTCCTTTGTTTTCTCTTTTCTTTGTAACTGTGTCAAAATGGTATGCAGCTGTCACGTGTATTCGAGAAAAATAAATAAATAAATAAATAAATAATGAGATACTCCCTTCATCTATTTTTGATAGTCATATTTCCAAATCTGAAAAATTTATTTTTGATAGGCATATTTCAATCCAACAACTTATCATCTTAATGTCTTTCTTTGATTTAATGCGTGACTCTCCATTCTTCCACACAAGATTGGCTACATGGGTATAGAGAAATGTAAATATTAATGAATCGCTTGTTTACGAGGAATGACTAGTAGCATGTTTAAATAGATGATAAGTAGAATCACTTATACTTGGTCTGTGTGCCAAGATGAAATATGACTATCAAAAGTAGATGGAGGGAGTATTATTTATTGTTCCATTGCCTGATGGTGGCAACTGGGATTGCAATTATTCATCAGATTATATTTGGCAATGTATTTGCCTGCATTTTGTCATGGACCTGAACTCTGCCGATTCAAAAAAGGACCTGAACTTTGCCTGTTTGTAGTTGGGGGCTTGAATACTTTTGTATGATCTCAATGACATTGCTTCCTCACTTTTACAGATAAGTTTCACGCTGAGCGATAGAAGTGGATGCTATTCTGGGTGAATTATTGACAGGTGGAACAGCCATCCTTGATCTTTGTTTCTTTAGTGACCTTAGATATGTTCAAATGCGATGGCAGGCAGGAACCTCCTTGCCTACACCCATGAGCATGTGTAACCTGTGTACAATCAGTCGCTGAGCTATGGCGCATGGGCATGTTTAATTGCAGATTGCTGACATGTGCCTTGTTGACGCACGCATTTGTCGTGCACTTGTCATATTTTAAGCAAGTACATGAACATAGCAAATGTATGCTAAACATAGTCCAGAGGTATGAAATGGACTATTTAGAGTTTCAACTAGTAGCTTTCTCACGATTATTTCTTGTAACGTGCAATCACAATTTATGCTTTACAAGATGGAGACAAAATCATACATGCGTGGTGATAACTGAAAGTTACTAACGCTGCTAATTAAGCAGATTACACATACATGGCTGAAACATAAACAAGAAACAGAGTGATCACAGCGGCAGCAGCCATATTTCTGGAGTTCCGTACACCTGCTGAATGCAGCAATTCTGGCAGCTTTGATGCAACTTGTGAACCAGCGCTCGATCCAGCGTCTCCCGGCGCCGTCACGGTGGCAGCAGGAGAATCGTCGGCTGGCACCGGCGGTGCTTCTGACGCCTCCGGTTCAGCCGGCGCCGCAGACGGTGTCATCGCCGGCGTGTCCGGTGCAGCGGCCGGTGCCAGTGCCGCCGGCGTCGCGGAGCGCGGCTCAGAGCTTTTCGCGGCCACATCTGCATATGCATCACCACGAGAAATGGCAACAACTTATATCAATTATTACACCCAATTTTCTTTTCAAGATTAGATGAACTGTAAATGCCGGTGAAGACGTGAAGTGCACAGGGACAGGGGGCGTGTACCATCGCAGGGGTTGCTGGGCAGGTTGCACACGTTGGGGACGATGGCCTGCGCCTGGCCGAGGAACAGGCCGAACGGGCCGGCGGCGGCGAGCCTGGACGCGGCGCAGAGGCACGGACCCTGGGACCGTAAGAACGCCCGGAGCTCGGAGCAGCACGACGACAGCGTCGCCGACCCGACGCCGAACGCGTAGCCGATGCACGGGGACAGGCTGAGCGGCGCCGCCGGGCAGCTCGGCATCGTCAGTGCCGTCGGCTGCACCGACGCCGCCGCCGTCGTCATCGTCGTCTGCGCCGCGCACAGCGTCGCTGCCGCCGCCACGACGACGGCGAGAGCGAGACCCACGACCCCGTGCCCGCTCCTTGCCATCAGTGACACGAGCAGACGACGACACGATCAGAGGTGAATTATTAGACGATTATAGTTCGCGTACGTAGACGAGAGGGACCGGGAGATGCATGGTTTCATATACCATGAGCTGTTGGGGAAAAAAAAAAGGAAAACGAGAAGTAGTGGAGGATTTGGAGGGAAAAAGTAGCAAGCTGTTGAGTGAGAGATACAGTATCAGTTACAGTGGCGGGTTGATGGGCTGGTTGATCTACCGAGCTTGTTGCGCTTTGCCAGCGATCGAGCTAGGAACCGGGGCGTGTGCACGTTGCGATGAGCGCGACGTGGCCTCTTTTGGAGGTTTTTACCGGTGAACCGATCGGAGAATGTCGTGTGTGCGTGTGCGGCATCGCGCTCGTCATGCTACATGCGGTGTGATTGTGATTTGTGGACGTGAGTGTACCAGTGGTCGTGGTCTGCTTTGACATCAGTTTGGTTGGTGATCAGCCTGGTTACTTTCCATGCTTTGTGCAGCTACTTCAGATTATCGTACTATAGGATGTCATCAGCGGGGATTTAAGCCTTTTTGGGACTAGGGAGTAGCTGGAAGCCTGGAACCGGATAACAGCAAAAACCATTGGAGTGGCATTGGTTAGGTGCAGCTCTGTTTGAACTTATAGTTTGGTGTACGTTGCCACTGGAAAGTACTATTACTAATTAACGTGCTTGATAGGCTTGACATGATTTTACTTGGGGCATTAAGCTTGATATGTTTCTACTTAGTGCATGTCATGTCTATTTTTTTTATCTAATTGGGATTTACTTAGTGCATGTCATGTCTATTTTTTTTATCTAATTGGGATTTTGCATCTCATTTAGATTATTTTTAAACTCAAACTTTATGGCTGTGCGTGCATCCTAAATACAGAGGATAGGGATGCAAGCATGTTCCTTATCTTAAAAAACTGTAAAGTAAATGATCCATGGCGTTCGCGAAAAAGAAAATGATCCATGAAAAATAATGTACTAAAATTTAATCGAAGTAAGCACGCTAGCTAGGTTTGCTTTTGCTTAGATCAGGCCGGTGGCGGGCGCTGGCGCAAGCTACCTGTTGTGCCGGATGCGTTGATCACCCGCATGAATCTCGGCGAGGATTACGGCTCCCCGCAGCGACAGAGGGGCGAGGGCTGGTCATGCCTGAGGCCTTCGCACCGAAATCCGACCGTGTGGCGGCGAGGTGCGCGCGGCGGCTGAGACGATTGGGTTTCGCGGCGGCCAGCGCGTCGGGACGAGAATCCAGGCATGGCGGCGGTGGCGCTTGGGTCGTCGACGACGTGGCGGCCGCACGGGAGCGCGGACGGTGGCCGGGCCACGCGGGGATGCGGACGGTGGCGGTGGTACTTTGGGGGACGTGGATGGCGTGGTGGCTGTACGGATGCGCAGGCGAGGGCGAGTCTTCGAGCAGGTACAATAGCAATAGCAAACTATAAGAGCAAGGTTAATAATACAGCCGACCTGTTGACTATAAGGTTTTTTATAGCATTTTCTTAGCTTACCCATATAATAGTTAGCTCTTTACGATTAATACATGGCCCACTTGTCTCTCTCACATAGTTTTTTGGTTCTTGTGTCCAAGCCGGCTGTAAGTTTACACCCGCTTCTCCTCTCTCTCCTCTCATCTCTCCTCCACCTCAGCATTTAGCCGGCTTATAGCCTACTATTATACTTGCTCTAAGTCAGCTGTAAATATATTTTAAGAAAATAAAATAGAAGAAAGAAGAGTAGCGGAGCACAGCCTCTAAGATGTAATCTGTGTATGACAGGTGGAATCAGGTATTAATATTGTACTTCCTTCGTTTCAGAATGTAAGAATTTCTAGCATTGCCCACATCTATCTATTTTATAATACTAAAAGTCCATTAAACTTCCTATAAACGCTCTTAAACCGAGTGGCATCCTATAAACGCTCTCAAGTCGCTAAATGACACCCTAATAAATAAGAGAAATTTAACCATTTATTTTTATTTAAATTGATGGACCCATTATTTTGGATGGTTAGATCTATTTTGTAAAAGCAAAAATCACATCCGAAACCAACGACGTAGAGGCATCATATATACTAACGAATAAAAGTACGTACTATATGAATGTAGGTCCTGTACGTACTTCCCTTCTTTTCCTTCCTATGTTAGAAATTAAAATTAAAATTATTTTTACATGCAAAAAAAAATCACAAATAGACCAATTACTATGTCTAGCAGCTCTCCCTCCGTCACAGATTTAAACATCCTACGAACTATTCTAAGTCGCTACGTGGTGCAATTAAATTAGAGAAAGTACTAAAAATTCTTAAAAATACATAACAACTAACCATTGATTTCTACTTAAATTGATAGGTACATTTAGGTGGTTAATTTTTAATTAAAAATATCCAAAATCTCTCTCCCTCCCTCCCTCCCTACCTCCGTGTGGTGTTAAAGTCCATTAAATATTTTTTAAACACCTCTATGACAGTCTTAAATTAAAGAAAATCTTAAAAAAATTAAAAAATAACTATTACATCCTATATATACTCCTAAGTCGCGAAGTGACACCTTACAAATGCTTCTATGTCACCAAGCCGTACTCTAATCCGATCATCGATTTTCATTTAAATCGGTGCATCTATTATTTTATTTTATTTTATTTCAGAAGGTTAGATTTTTTTTAAAAAAAACACGCACACATCCAGAACTTCCCCATCATGTACGTACGAACAAGCTATCTTCATGAAAAATACCACAAAATAGGTCTTCCCCTGCTAGGTCTAACCGCTCTCGCTCTGTCACGCTAAAGATCCTATGATCGCTTCTAAAATGCTACGAGGTGCTATTAAATTAGAGAAAATACGAGAAAATCTTTAAAAAGAAACAAAGCATCAAGCTATCGCTATCGATTTGTTAGGTTTTTGTAATAAGAAAAACCCAAACTTCTCTACGTCCCTCCCCACCCCCGTGCAGCGTTAAAATCCATTAAATATGTTATAAACACTTCTAAGCTGCTATATGAAAAATCTTAAATTAGAGAAAAATCTTAGAAATTTTGGGGGAAAAAAAATCCAACCATCGAATTTGACATAAATCGATAGACACATAATTTTCAATCGATTAACACATTATTTTAAGTCATTAGATCTATAATTTTTTTAAAGAACAACCCAAACCTCCTTCCCTCCCTCCTTTGCGGCATACGGTATTATAAGTCCATTACACATCTTATAAACACTCCTAAGATATTATATCGTTCTCTTAAATCGGAGAAAATACACTCTTGAGATATTACGTTGTTATCTTAAATCAGAGAAAATCCTAAAAATTATGACAAGAAAACAAAACATTCAACTAAGTTGTTAGATTAATCATTTAGAAAAAAAATCCCAAACCTTCCTCCCTCCTGCCCGTTTACCGCGTGCCCCATTCTTTTCTCTCTATTTTTTTTATCTCCTAATCAACGGAAGTTAAAATTATCTATATGGGCAAAAAAAATACAAATGGAACTTGTCACACCCTAAAAAATCTTAAATTTATAAATTGTTGTTTAATTGGAATTATTAGAATTGAATTTTAAAAGCCTAGAAGAGAAGATCTAATTTTAAATAATAAATTCCAATATAAAAATGGGCTAGATAAAATTTTATTAAATACTTCACTTGATTTTATAGTTCCTAGATTTTTCTGGGATTTATTTGAGCCAAGGAAGTATTTTTAATCAATGGAATTGCATTTCATGAATAATTTAAAAAGAAAAAGGTTTTATAATCCTCTTTTGGCTTTGGGCCGAAAGTCGGCCCAAAACCTTCCTCTCTCTCCCCAGCCCAAGTCAGCCCGCAGCCGCCCGCTCGCGCTCTCTCTTCCGCTGACAGGTCTTCCTCGCGCCGCCCGGCCGCGCCCCAGCTGCCCGAGCCGCCGCCGCTGCCCTTCCAAATTCCGTCGCCCCTTTCCATCTCCGGTCGAATCAATAGAGGGGAAATGATCCTCGGGATCCCCTCTTCCTTTTCTCTTTTGGAATCGTCGTCTAATTTCCTTTGGAAATCGCCGGATTCGATCTCGAATCGGATTCTATTTTCTCCCCGAACCCTAATCTTTCCTTCGCCGTCGCCGGCCGCCGTGGGCCTCCGTCGCCGCCCCCTAGCCCCTTTAAAAGGACCCCCGGGACCTCCTCTCTCCGCCGCCACCCTCGCCTTAGCTCGCCGTCGTCTGTAGCGCCGCCTCCGTGTTCACCCGTGCGCCGCTGTCGCCGCCGCGAGTTCAGCCGAGCACCGCCGTCGCTCTGGTCGTCGTCATCGCTCGGGAAGGCCACCATCGGGATCGCTAGGTCGTCGCCGTCCTCGTCCACCCCTCCGTCGTCGCCGGAGATCACCGGAGCGCCGTCGTCGTCGAACCGATCGCCGCCGCCGCTTCGTCCTCGTCGCCATCGTCGTCCGGTTGCCGTCCGTCGCCGTTCGTGCCTCGGTAAGGTTCGCCGCGTCGCCCGCTACCCGTAGGTGCCGTCCGTTTGCGCCACCGCGCCGTCGTTCGCCGGCGAGCACGCGAGCCCGAGCCGTCGCCGGTGGTGACGTCACCGCTGACGTCATCGTCGCCGTTTCCGTAGACCCGGGGTGGATCGATTCGATCTCGGCCGTTCGTTCCGTAGACCGCCGCCGTGCACCCGGTCCACCGTGAGCCGATCCCGCTGACGCAATAAACCCTTTTTTCTTTTCAAAAATAATTCATTATTGCGTCGTAATTCAATTAAAATCTATATAAGTGATTTAATCCGATTTAATCTTTAAAAATTCATAACTATATCATCTTAGCTCGGATTTAGTTGGTTCAAGTCTCTAAATTTTTCTAAAATTGAGATCTACATGTTAAAAATATCCACATGTACTGTTTATGATTGTTTATGTACTGTTTAGGTGATTTTGCTCTTTTATGCTTAGATTCCGACGTTCCCGGAGAGTCCGATTTTGCAGGAGAAGACTTTAAAGAGTTCCAAGGCCAGCAAGGCAAGTCACACAGATCCCAAACAACCCTTTGAGCATGTTGATCCCGTTTAAAACTATTGTTTCTATTCAACTATTGCATTTATTTTTGAATGTCATTGGGTGGAAATAACCTATTGCCTTGTTAAAGCCCTTTTGTTATTGATTCCCTATTCTTTGT